GATGGGGATGCTCAGCCTGCCCGGCTTTCTGTCCTGCGGGAAGAAGAAGGTGAGAGGCGAGGGGTGGCTGGTCGGAGGCACCCAGGCAGGTGTGGGAGAATGCAGACAGGTGTGGGTGCACCTGAGCAGGTGGAGTATGGAGGCTGCAGGTACGTGGGCAGCTATGGGAGCGCTGGCAGGTATGAAGTTGTCTGGGCAGGTGAGATCTAGATGTGGGAATATAGGGGCACAGTGGTAGGTAATGTGAGATGAGCTAGGATGAGCACCTAGGACTTTGTGAAATGCGCTAGGACAGGAGTTTTTTAAAGTGGATGTACAAATATGTACTGTTGTGAACATCTGAACAGACATGTGGGCATCTGGCCCTGTGGTGGTGGAACGGAGTATTTTAACTCCCTGGAGGTGCTGCCCCTACGAGCATCCAGCAAGGAGTATTCAGGTAGGAGGACTAGGGCAAAACTCACCGTGAAGGTTTTTGGGCTCTCTGGTGGGACCCTCACTCACAGGTCTATGCTGACCTGCCAGGGATTGGCTGGACTGGCAGCCCACTTGGCTCTGCCCTCCCTGTCTAGCTGCCCTGCCCAGCGATGCCAAGGTGCTACTCTGGACAGGGAAATGTGGATACAATTGTCCTGCTTGCCCGTGGGGTGATCACAAACCTTCCGTCTTCTCTTCCAAGGACTTCAGTTTGTCACATGGAAAAGATTCCCGCTCCAGTGATGGAAGTGATGGTGATGAGAACAAGGAGCGTGGCAACTGGTCAAACAAAGGCGACTACCTGCTCTCCATGGTGGGCTATGCCGTGGGTCTGGGCAACGTCTGGCGCTTTCCCTACCTCACCTACCAGAACGGCGGAGGTACTTGTGCTGAATGGCAATGTCGGGTGGGCACGCCTTGCTGTCCCCAGGGGAGAGGAGGACAAGCTCCAAGGGCCAGCCCTGAGGCTGGAAACGTTTCTCAAAGCTGGATGTGAGAATCACCCTGGGAACTGGGATAGTGTCTGCTATTGGAAAGGGAAAAGGAGCGAGAGACAGCTATGTTTTTTTGGGCACCAGCTGAGGAGGGAAATAGTATTTAGTTTTAACTGTTTGTTTCCACCTGAGAGTTCCAGAACTCTTCTGATTTACTCACAACCAATATGCACCTTCTTGTCAATGTGCCAATACCCTCTGCTTACCTAAATAGCTTTTCGCCCTCCCCAGTGCTTACCTCCCTGGTATGTTATAGAGAACAGTTGAATCCTTTCTGCACCTTTGTTTTGCCATGCAAACAAACTAAGCTGGAATTATTATCTAAGCTCAATAATTATCCCAGTTAGAAGTATGAGACAGAGAGAGCCTCTATCTTCTTACAAAATGAAACAGTGGCAAAACCAAATGGAGGCACTGGCTTCCCTGGCTGATATTCCAGAGCTTTATCTACTTGATAGGCTACCACTGGTAATTAAAGAGAGCATAAATGCTAAGTAACTGCAGAGAACTTACTTGTGTGTACCTATTTGCTCTGTTTAACAGTTGTTGAAGTCAAATTCTGGACTGTAAACAGCACAGCCCATAGAGCTGTGCTTGTGGAACAAAAGGAGGCAGTCTTAGTACAGAAGTTTTATTGGAGTGAGCTTGGCCAGGTTGCATTTTGTTGAAGAAAATTGTGAAAACAAAATAAGTTGTGACATCAGCCTTGTACTAGATCTTTTTCCTTATCTGCTGCAGCAGAAAACTTTGCATTTAAAGCATATTTGTGCTGCTGCTTGCATCCTTCTCTGTGCTCCTTGCCCGTGATTGATAAAGACAACTATTACATCCTTGTTTTGAAACACAGGAGTAATCCAGTTAGTTCTGTGGGACGGTTTACTTCCCGAAATTACATCAGGTATTTGCAGTTCCTTGCAGAACTGCGTCCTTGGCTGCTTTAAATTCACTGAGAGTGACGAGGACAGATTTCTGCAGGGATATCGAGTTTTGTTTATGCAACTTGTGCTCTTACTTTTCCCATCTTCTGTGAAAACACAAAGAAGTGCCAGTCCCTTTCACAGAACAGGACGCTCAATGATATCAGGTTAACCTACACTTCAAAATGGACTTGAACAAGAGCCACACTGAGATCTGAACAAGTGCCACACTGAGATGCTGTTTGACACAGGACTCAGCCAACCATAGAGAATAACTTTCATGCTTTGATGTCCAGTAGCTGCTCGAACAGGGCAGTTGCAAATCACAGCTAAGTACATAAAGGAATGGTTCTCTTCCTTTTTAAAAACTGGAAGAGTAAATAGAAATAGAGAAGGCTGATAGTGCCTACAGCTGAGCAGTGTTCCTGTTTGTATAAGAGTGCTATGTCTTCAGTAGTTTTTGTAAAATTCTTTTATTTCTATAAGAGAAACCTTCCTTTTTAAATCATCAGTTCTCCTGACTATCTGTGTCTCTTCATTGCAGGTAGTACTCAGTCTTGTAGAAAACACCATTTAGAAACAAATCTCTCTATCCTGAAAAAAAACCCTATAGGGGGATATTTGAGGAGGCGAAAAAGGGGTGATAAAATGTGGTGAATACTGAAAAATTGTTTTCTCTGTGTGTGTGATTGTGGTTTTTCCCCTTCTCTCCCCTCAGGTGCTTTTCTGATCCCCTACACCCTGATGTTGGCATTAGCTGGCTTGCCCCTATTTTTCATGGAATGTTCCCTTGGGCAGTTTGCCAGTCAAGGGCCCATTTACGTCTGGAGAATACTACCATTGTTTCAAGGTTGGTTTTGTTATGCTTCCTTAGCTAATTTTTATTCCAGTAATAAGCTTATGTGAATTAATGATTTCCTCACAAAGTTACTAATTCTGAGATGCCAATTTTCCTGTAGCGACTACTCCCAGTGTTACAAGGTCAGTGTTATGTTCCCAGGTACATAATTCCTTATTATTCAGTTGATAACCAGATGTTGATAAGAGATTTCCCTGAAAAGGTTGTAATCTCTGAGAGGTTTTATCAATTATTCTCCTGGTGTTAAGCAGCATGTCACCCTCACTGCAGCCAGAAGAAGATGACCTTGTTTGCCATCTGAGGGAAAACCTCAGTAAAACAACTGGTACTGTGTGCAACAGATCGAAAATAATTTTTAGGAGTTGAATTTATCACTGTTTTTTTATGCTTCGTGTCCAGTGTAGCTTGCAAGGCAGTTCTGTGTTGGATGGACTAATTCTGTGTTTGGCTGCCAGTGTTGGCACAGGAATGTCAGCCTGGTCTGTATGCAATGCTGTGCACATAGTCATCCAGCAACTGCCTTGGGAGTCATCTGCTGCTGTGATTAAATAGCCTAGACTCTGGCTTTGTAAGGTGAGGTGCCCCTTGAGATAAGAGAAATCCTTGCAGTCTGTAGTGGTAGTTTGCCTGTCTCTGAGAGGGTTTGTATTTCACAGGGAAATTTGTTTGGAAACAACAAACCATGTGCTTTACTCACTCCTATCCATCCCAGTCCTGTACCAGGGCTGTAAAGGACTATGCAACTGGTCTTGTTTGTCCTCTCTCTACCAGGTGAATTAGTGTAGGAACAAGGAAGTTTCTTTCTGATGCAATAAGATTTTTGCTTACTACCTTCCATAGAAACTGGTTGCCACAACGTTTATTCTTTTGGTCAGTCTGTGTTCTGCAGCACAAGCAACCTTTCATGAGAGCAGTGTGATTAAGGCAAAAGTTTTTAAAGCAAGTCTTTTATATGTCTGTAAAGATAAAAACATAAATATAGTGTCTAAGATGATTGGAACAGTTTGTCAGGCTTTCCCAAACTAGCAGAACAAAACTCATTTTAGCAAAGGGAGAGAACAGTAGTATTAGCACAGATTTACTGTTCTGTGTTGCTGCTCATTCATTGTCAAAAACCTTTATTACAGTGGAATCTTCAAAATGGCTTGGGTAGTCCCAGTACAGTTTCTTTTATTTTACTAAGCTTCTCTAAACTGAGAGAGAACAAAATACTGAATTTCTCCTTTAGACTTGGACTTAGCAACTAGTCCAATTTTTCTATGGGCTTGATTCAAATTCTCTGTCAAAGCCATTTTTGAGATGGTCAGTTTGGATCCTATCCATCATTTTATGGCTTTACCCTTTTGCTGTTTGCTCTTAAAAATAATTTAAAAACCAAACAAAAAAATACCCTCAGCTTTTACCCAGGTAGCCTTTTAAAAGTCAAGTAAAGGCCATTTGATTTGGGTTTGTTTGTTTTTGTTATTTTAAACCTGGGTTTGAGGTACTTAAGACATTAAGCCTTTCTCTTTTCTAGGAGTGGGCTTCACTATGGTCATCATCTCAGCATTTGTGGCAGTCTACTACAACGTTATCATTGCTTATGCAATCTACTACTTATTTGCCTCATTTCAAAAAGTGCTACCATGGTCAGAATGCTTTTCCTGGGCAGATGAATTCTGCAGCAAGACACGAATAGGTATCGTACTCAACAGATAAAATTTAATATTACTGTTTTGGGAAATTGTACTGTTTTCTGGGAGAAATTATAGAAGCAAGACAGCTAACCATAGCTTGAAAAGTCCTTCCTGGATTTTGTCCCTTAACACACAGCAGTGATGCTTATCTTCTTCCCTGACACCAGTTCTGGGTACATGGGAAATCTACAGAGAACTGGGCTGAAACCACCTCGTTGGATCCTTTTTCTCCTTTAAAACCTCAGTTTATTTCTAGTACATACTGCATTTCCATTTCATCAGGCTTTATGACAAACAAATACCTTCCTTCCATGAGACAAGTGTCACTGCTGTAGTTTCTATCGGGTTTTTTCTCGTTGCCCCTTGCCTCCCCTGTGGCTATGGTAATCCTGAGCACCAGCGAGGCACTGGTTTCACACTTCATTAACTCTTTAGAACATATCTCCACACTATTGTTCTTGATGTTTGGCAGCAGATGTAGGGCTAAACACTTGTTATCTCACCAGTTTCTGTATCAGACCAGTTTAAGGCAAAAGGTGAAGTTGGTGAGGTAATTAGTAGTTAGCAGCTGGAAATGTCTTGCCCGGTAACCTCTGAGATTATTAAAATAACAAGGACAGGATCAGGATAGATAATATTGTTTACAGCACTTATGTATATGTAACTCAGCCATATATCTGAAAATCTCTTATAAGATTCGTAGGTTTCAAAAAATGAAGTTAAAGTTCTTTATGTAACAAAAAGTTGATGCTTGCTTATGGGCAAAACAAAAAATATTTCAGTATAAAATTTGTGGTGGAGAAATATAAAATTGAATTGAAGAAGCTGTCCTGAAATAGAGTTCAACAAGACTTTTCCAGTAAATGCTGATACGAATGCTGATAAAATGTTCATTAGTGTATGTGCTGGCAAAAAATTCCCAGAGCCAAACAGTGCCCATTCCTCTCACACCCTTCCAAGGAAAAAAATTTAAGAGCTCTAATAAGCCCTCTGTGGCAATAAGATGAAGTTGCTAGCAGATGATCTGTGTGTAATCTTGGTTTGGGACAAAAGTTTTCATAAAGTAACCAAGGCTACAGTCTTAACTATCCTCAGTTCTGATTTTTGCAAGTACTCTTGAGGATAAGTGAAACGTGGTGAGCACACCAGATTCTTGGTGTTTTTGATTTACAGTCAAGTAACAAAGTCACAACAGCAAATGATAGTTCAGGTTTGTTTTTAAATGTGGTTAGTAGGCAAACTGAAGCTGTAACTTTAGAAAATGTATTTGTTATAATAGTCATCACAGTGTTAGTGATTCCTTTTTCTTGCTTTCAGTAAATGACTGCAATACAACCTTACATGGAGAAATCATTCATGCAAACTACACTTTTGTCACAAGCAACAATCTCACGTGTATAAACGGCACCATAAACTACAAACCAGTGCAATTTCCTAGTGAGCAATACTGGAAGTAAGTAAATGTTTTAAAGAAATTGTTAAAAAAACTTTATTATGCATTGTGGCTTTGGATGTACCTTTTATTTTTGTCTTATTTTGGTGCCCAGAAAAAAATCTACTCAAGGGTTGTGGGCATGTAAATTGGTAGAGAGGAGATTTAAAACTTAATTGATAAATCTGGCCCTTATAAAAAAAATGTATGTAGAAAGAGAAGCAAGTGAGTCAAGCTGTTGCAAACTGAAAAATATTCCAGTTTAAAGAAGTCCTTTCCCCTGGAGTCCTGGTAGGGACTACTTAGCATCTTTATATATAGCATATACTTTTTTTTCCTAGGAGTTATGGTGCAAAATATATTCACCTTATTCTGAATCTGGGCCTGTTGTGAAATTACCATTTCTTTAGCCCCATGGTTTCAATTTGTCTCATGTTCCCTGGGTTCCTGCAAACTGATTCCTACAGGCTCTTCTTTTGCTGTCAGAAGAGCTGTTAACACAGAAGAGCTGAGGTGGGCCTTATGAGTGATGCATGGAGAGCTGAGAGCTGGTAAAGGGGAAAAACACAGTTAAATATTCAGTTTTTCAATGCCAATCATGCAGTTCTAGCTGCACACTCCTGAAAAAGGATGCAGAGTCTTGTAACACCAGCAGACACCAGCACCAACTCAACTTCTTCCAAGAAGTAGCTGAAAAGGAGGTGTATGTGCTGCTGTCACCCTCTTCTCATGGGAGCACTCTGTGCTTTCAGTAAAGTGGCTCTTCAGCGCTCGAGTGGGCTGGATGAGACCGGCAACGTCGTGTGGTACCTGGCTCTCTGCCTCCTCCTGGCCTGGATAATTGTTGCAGCTGCATTGTTTAAAGGAATAAAATCTTCTGGAAAGGTATGTTAAGAAGAGCAAGGAGCAGACTCTTTGCCTGATCCTGCCCTTCCAATGTCAGTTGGACTCAGGGAAGGTTAGCGCAAGGCAGGATGCAGTCCTAACCCACCACCCTCTGCTGGACTCAGCTTTTCTCCTGCTCCTTGACTTCATAACTGTTACATAAAATATGAGTAAGGTACTGATTACACGGCCATTATTTAACACATGGACCTCAGCTCTGGCAGGGCTGCCCTGTATTTTGGGATGTCGCTGTCATGCCAGTGATTCCAGCTGAGTTTTGGCAGTCACTTGGGCTGTGTGAAGGATGTGTGCATGTGACAGCACACGCCCTGGGAACACCTGGTGATTATTTGCACCTCCGGTGTAGTTGAGATGTTTGGACAATACAGGTCAGGTCCTGCTAACACATGTGCATGTGCAGGTTCCTGCCAGGTTGTGAAACGTTGTTTGTTCTCAAAAACTGAAGCTGTTTTTAGGGACCAGGTTCATTGATGTTTGTTTTCAGACTCTGGCTCTGCTGAGTTCCCATCCCCACATGCTGGAGCATGGCTGCCTGGTCTTTTCCTTGGGCTAGGTTTACTTCAGGCAGGCTGAATTTCATTCTTCCCTGCCTGAGGCCCTTTTCCTGGTTTACTTCCTTCCCACACGTTTTTCTCACCTCCATGTTGCATCTCTCTCATCTACTTCTTCATTCTCAATTGACTTCATTCTTTCTTTCACCTTTTCTGCACTGACCTTTTTTTTGTTTTCTTCTGTCATTGTGCCTTTCCATGGTTCCTTGCTGCCTGCCTTTCTCTCCTCAGGCTGATGTTTCCTCCTGTCTTCCTTTATATTTGGAGCTTTCTACCCTCTGTCTCAGCACTTTGGGGTGGAGTATCTTTTGGCCACATGGCTCCTCTTAATGTCACACTCTTTGGGTACCTAGTTGGCTATTCCTCTTGTCACTTCTCCTCTGGCACAAAAGTAAGCCTCTCTGGGGAGCAAGCTAAGACTCAGAAGAATCTAGAGGGGCAGGAGCAAGGCAAAGATGAAAAGCAGAAAGAATTGTCTGTTCTAGGCAAACATGAAGGTCTTCAGAAATGGCAGACTCACCACATGATGGTGCAATGCTATAGCTTGGTGTAACCAGCAGTACCGGGTCAATTATCTGTCTGCGTAACACTGAAACTAAGACTCAAGAAACAAGAGTATTGTTGAATGTAGCCTGTGTGACAAGAGCCCTGCTACTGGCCTGGATCCCATCGCTCTAGACAAACAACAGAATAGATCTGTGTCTGAAAGAACCTGAAAGTACTTTGTTCTCAGTAAAGAAAGCATCCAGAATGGCGAATTTTTTTTTTTTTTTTTTTTTTTTTTTTTTTTTTGGGTGAGGGAGAGATGGGGGAGTAGGTTTTGGTCTCATCAGGAGATAATTCCACACTGGTCACCTGATTTTAACTAGCTTTCAGTTTGCTCTTGCTGGAAGCATTACTTAGCAAGAGACTTCTGGGGTAGTCGAGTCCAGACTTTGCTACAGCAGTAAATCATGTCAGAAAAACACATTTCTGAAACTGGTTAAGTGCTATCTGAAAAGTGGATATGTGGCTTGGGCCTTCTGCTTCTGCTGGAATGCAGCTCAAGAACCGGCTAAGCCAGATGGTTTGGTGGTTGGCATGTGTTCACTTCCGTGGTTACCTGTTTTTCTTTTGTACCAGCAGACCTTAGCTTAAAGCCTGTCCATTCCTCCTCCACAGAGGTCTATGCATCCCCTCATTCCTAAAGTGTGTCCCTGCCTATCTTTCTGCAGGTCGTCTACTTTACTGCGCTCTTCCCATATGTCATCCTGCTCATCTTGCTGGTGAGAGGTGCCACTCTGGAAGGTGCTATGGATGGCATTCAATACTACATTGGGAGACAGTCTAACTTCACCAAGCTGATGGAGGCAGAGGTGAGAGGTAGCGTCAGCCCCAGAAGTGTGACACACTTCCGTGGTTCTGTGGGCTTGCTGCTTGCAGAGCAACTTCTTTTTTATCCAGTCAGGTGCTTCTTCGTGTCCTGCCCTGTATTTTGTATAGAATAAGGAGTCCAAGCTCCTCTATTCTAGCTACTCTCAATTTAAAAAATAGTCACCCTCTGCCCCCTCCCTGCTGCACCAGACAGTGACAACAACTGTGCTATTTCCTCTGATCAGCTCTTGGCAGTCATGCTGGAGTTTCATATCAGCAAGGCCTGCTGAGAAAGTCCTTGCTGATAATTGTAAGGGACTTTATCAGAAGGCTGAAGGGATCCCTGAGTTTGAAATTCAGGCTGTGCCTTGCCCAAGAAATTAACTTGAAATTACCCTAGGTGCACCAGGAAGGGTACCTTGTGCAATGAAAGCCCGGACTTCTTTTGTTCTGGCTTATGCCAATATTTATTATTTCAGTTTTATCAAAAGCAAGTGCTAAGTGTGTTTATTTGTGGTATTTATTTGTGGCTTGGCACTAACTAAGGGGCTGCAGCAGAGGCAGAAGTGGTTTGTTTGGGTCACGGTGGAGGAACATGAGTGGGAGAGTACAGGGAAGTTCTCACTCCTGCAGGGCAGTCCTGGTTTTCCTTATTTGTTGCCACTGTGACAGGATTAATATCTCAACAACCCACAGATGTGAACAAATTGAATCTCTTCTTTAGGGTTAGCCAGCCCAATAAGATTTAAGTATTTGGCAACATACTTGGGATGTGACCTTTGGAGACAAGAGAAGGGTGTTGTTTGTGCTTGAGACTGCAAGGTCACCAGCATACTATATCCCACATACCCTAAAATTCATATGAAATTGAATTAGATATTCAGGCTAAATGAAAAAAAAAATTACCCTTGAGCTTCAACAGAGGGCAGACTTAAATGTTTATGGTAAGTACACTTCACTATGGAATAATTCTCCTGTTCTTATTTCTGGTAGGTTTGGAAAGATGCAGCCACCCAGATATTTTACTCCCTGTCTGTGGCATGGGGCGGGCTTGTTGCGTTGTCTTCGTACAATAGGTTCCACAACAACTGCTACTCGGATGCCATCACAGTTTGTGTAGTCAACTGCGTCACCAGCGTATTTGCTGGGTTTGCAGTGTTCTCCATCTTGGGACACATGGCATTCGTGTCTCAGAGACCCGTCTCCGAGGTCGTGAACTCAGGTAGGCTGACTGTCACACTGCTGGTACTGGGACTTGCACTGACCAAGGCATGACAATAACATCCTTCTTTCCACTACTTTCCAGGATTTAATCTTGCATTTGTAGCCTACCCAGAGGCCCTCTCCAAGTTACCAGTTTCTCCTCTGTGGTCCTTCTTGTTTTTCTTCATGCTGCTGCTCTTGGGCCTTGACTCCCAGTTTGCCAGCATAGGTGAGTGGTGTTTTAAGTGACTCATGGCTTTTCAAATGACCATTGCCTTTTTAAATTATGCTGCTCAAACTCCCCACTTCTTCCTTTGCAGAAACACTTACAACCACCATTCAAGATTTTTTTCCCAGAGTGATGAAACAATTAAGAATCCCTGTAACCATGGGGCTGTGCACAGTGCTCTTTTTTCTTGGGCTTATCTGTGTTACTGAGGTAAGACATTAAATTATTTTTTGGTAGTGAGTTTAGTTATGCTGCAAGTGATGAACTCAAATCAAAATACCCTTTCCAACTGTTCCTGCCTGCGTGGGTCAATCTTGGAGACTCGAATTCTTCCGGTGTGCCTGGGTGCACAAATAAGAAATTTCCAGAGGAAAGCTTGGAGAACCTAAGGTTTTCTGTGATTATTGAACTGAGACGTGCTTTTAAATAGAAGGCCTTTACAGAGCCCGTGAACCATCAGCCTGATTTATTGTTCCTCAGTTCAGGAGTTTGTGTAATCACAGGTATATGCACACAGCGTGTCCGCAGCACTGTGGGTACTGCTGATAAATGTCAATGGGATCTTTTTGTTCAGAACTGACTACCAACCAGGACAGAAATTGAGAAATGGCCTATTCATGTCATAAAAACCCATTAGCTCACAAGCATCTGTAGATTGCATGGTTACTTCTCCTGCGTGTGTGTACATATATAAATACACATACGGAAAAAGAATTTTAAGTATAGTGTGTAAAATTTCTTGAGGTAATTGCTTTTAAGGCTACAAGGGTTCACTGTAATTATTCCATCTAGAAATGCAGATTTATGTGTGTAATTAGACTGACAATGTGAAGAAGATAATTGTGGTAAACAGTCACTTGTATGGTCAAGCCAAGTATGTAAGTCATAGAACCTGGTGGCAGGGAAGCTTGCAAGGGACTTAGTACTCAAGAGTGTGAAATTACTTAAAGCTTGTTTCCTTTGCTGTGATCCTGTTATTGCACACTGGTGTTTAAAGCTGTGTTTAACCCACATGGAGAACTTGTGCATGTGGGAATATAGAAGCCCCTCAGAACTGACAACTGGTACAGGTATTGCTGTGGCTCAGTATTAAAACTTCAGCCCCAGCTTTATTACTGTAAGCTCCAAGTTTAAATCTTGCTTTCAACTCTTTACATATACTCTGCATATATATATATATATGTCTTGGTTTTGGTATTGTGTCAGATGTGCTTTTCAACTTTACATAGAAGTATTCAAACAAAATAATATTCACAGATATGTATTTAACCTGAAGTACTGGGAATTTAAAAAACTCAGAGTGGTGATCAGTTAAACTGCCTTGAACAAATACAACTTATTTTATTTGCACAAATGTGTTACTATTCAAATTTTAACCTCTAATGTTTGTTTTACAGGCAGGAATTTACTGGGTTAACCTAATAGATCATTTTTGTGCTGGATGGGGAATCCTTTTTTCAGCTGTCCTGGAGGTAGCAGGCGTCGTCTACATTTATGGTAAATTATTTGCATTGAAAATCCGTAATTTGTCTAAGCAATCCCAGGCACAGTGTATATCATAGAACCACAACATGGCTTGGGTTGGAAGGGACCTTAAAGATCATCTTGTTCCAATCCCCCTGCCACAGGCAGGGACACCTTCAACTAGACCAGGTTACTCAAAGCTCCATCCAACTTGGCCTTGAACAGTGCCAGGAATAATAAATGGTAATTACTGCAATAAAGAATTTATAACTTAACTGTCAGAAAAGCTTTAATAGTTACCACTGAAGTGGAGAAACTGTCCTTGATCATTGTCTTTTTTCTGTAAAGGGAGTCACCCCCTTTACAATGTGCCCTATGATTGTCTTTCAACAGGAGGAAACAGGTTCATTCAAGACATTGAAATGATGATTGGACACAAGAGCCGTTTTTTCTGGCTCTGGTGGAGAATGTGCTGGTTTTTTGTTACTCCTGCACTGTTAATGGTGAGTGCAGATGACTGGATTGTGTTAGTGTGACAGAATTTGGTAATTTGATATTGAAGAGGTTTCCATGTGAAGATTCAGGGCTGAATGCCCAGGCTCTGTGTATAAAGAAGGGGTATGGCTGTGTCAGTGAAGGAAATACTGTCTCTGCTTTCTGATACATTCCCCCCTCCTTGGATCCTCTCTTAGGAGAGGCTGAAGATTTAGATAAGTTGCTAGTGAGCTGGATCTACACTCCCAAGGACTAAGAGAGCAACCAGATCATTTGTCTTGGCAGATAGATTATCTTAAATTTAGACTGAGGAAACGTTTTGAAAACTTGGATTTTTCCCTTTTGAGGGAAGTCTCATTTTTGAAATGGATTCCTGGCTTGGATCTTTGGATGTCCAGTTGTTCTCCTGTCTGACTGAGACCTGTTTATGTCCTGTCACATGTCTCAGTTTTTCATTACTATTGTACTTCTAATTGTGGTGTAGCTGGTGGATTATGTTAGTGTGAGAGAATTTATTAATATCCCAAATCCAGGAAGAGTGGTAAGTTACTCTGGCCAGCACATTACCTTTAATATGTCCAGACAACAATTTAGAAAATGCTACTTAAAAATATCTAATTTCTGCAGCAATATTTGCCAACTTCTAATCTTAGATTCTTTCCTGTATTCCCAGAAATAACTGAACATGGGAACACACAAAACATATAGAGAAAGATACTGGGCTCATCCAACAGCAGATGTATTATCAAATGCAGGATTTCAAGAGAACCCAGAGATCAAGTTGTGTTTAAACACAGATGTACTTAGTGTTAGGGTGTACATCAGTGTCATCGTTCAGTCCTGCCCTTCAGTCTTGCTGTTTGGCTGTGACTGAACACCAAATCCTGCACAACCGTTCTCACACTGGGGAAGCAAAATTGAACTGTGCAGAACTTGTAGACAGTACTTTTGTTGAATCAACTTAGATCCGAAGATTGCAAGTTCAGGGTTTCTGGAAATCTGCTTTTCTCTCTTATTCTTTTCATCATTTTTTATAGGCTATTTTGCTCTGGTCTTTGGCCACATTTTCACCTCCTTCTTATGGCTCAGTGCATTATCCAGCCTGGGGAAGTGCTGTTGGCTGGTGCATGATCATCTTCTGTGTCATCTGGATTCCCATCGTTGCTATTGTAAAAATAGTTAAAGCTGAAGGAACCCTTTTTGAGGTAAGGGCGCAAAAAAAGCTTTCATAGCCTCAAATCTTAATTTCTTTGGCATTATCAGGACTACCTGCACTTTTTTTCTCAAACACGTTTGATGTGTCCGTTAATTGGATTTTTAGACCAAAACACATCTCTGGTAGTTGCATCAGAGGCAAATTTAAAGTGTTCTGATAAGAAGATAAAGTCTGATTTTCTGGGAGTGCACACACACGTCCAAGAGTGATTTTTATGGGCTCTGTGTTATTTCAGCTGCTTTAAATTCTTTGGAGAATTTTTATTGCTTTATATCCCTATATAATTCGCTGGTGTTTTACATCCCATTCCTCACAGAAACAAGCAAGTGCCAGATCTGAGGTATGCTGCACTTGCCAGGCTTTGCCAAACAGTCCTGTTGGTCACACTTTCTCTGTTTTTTTCACTTCAGTATCCAGAATCCACTGACCCCAAAGATATTTGGAAGGATTCTAAACAACTTTAGTGATTTGCCATTTGTTGAGTTACAGCTTTGCTGAATTTTAACAGTAGCCTGGACTAAAGTTGTGCTTGGTTTTACTTTCCAGCGCATTGCGAGCTGCTGCCGGCCTGCAGCAAACTGGGGCCCCTACCTGGAACGCCACCGAGGAGAACGATACAGTCATATGGTAGATCCCAAAAAGGAAAAGGAACATGAGATTCCTACTGTGTTTGGCCCCATATACGTGCAATAATGAGATAGCTGTTTGGATGACAATTTTTTAGCAAATATGCGTGTTTTGTCTTTTAATATTAGAAAGGGACAATGCAAAGAAAAAAAAAATTAATAAAAAGAAAAAAAGCAAATCAACCCCCTGCCCTTCAAAATCCAGTCCCCAAACGAAAGCTAGCCATATTATTTATTTTTAGGGCTTTAGTTGTTGGGGAAGAACAGGTAAATTAGGCACTGAGATCTCATCAGGTATCTAGGTTGAGAGGGCAGGATAATACATTGCAGGCTCCCCAGGCTGCTGGACTGGGCAGGCTTAACCCCACCCAACTGGTATCCAGCTGGACTGCAGATACGGGTGTGGAAGCGAGTAAAGACACATTCAGGTACTCCTCAGCTACAGGAATTTGAGCCCAAAGGTGCTGTGCATGTGTGCCCTGATGTGCAGTTACTGCCTTCCGCTTTGCTCTGCCATCCACAGTGGTGTGTGGTCAGCAGAGGTGAACTGGTGGGTGTGCTGCTGCCTGGCACTGAAGCTCAGGGAACACAAATAATTTTTCTCTAAGCCTTGCTCAGTGTGCTGTGGGGCTGCTCCGGATTTGATGTTGAGTACTATGTGTGTCTGTGTGTGTGTATTGTCTAAAGAAATATAAATATTGAGCGGCAAAAAATTTCCACCTCAGGAAATAAGACTTCAACATAGTGAAAAGCAGGCTGCTTTCTGTCTCTCATTATTTCCCTTGGGATCCCCAAAGAGCCATCTTTTGTGTCATGCCCTGTGCTTAGCATTCATTTGTCTGTAAAAAAAATCCCGTGTTTTCATATTCTGTCACTAGGATCTGCAGAATGAAAGAGTAACCATTGAGTTCTGCTGTGTCTGCTCTCCTACTCTCACCAAAGCTTTACCTATCAGTTTGTTTTCTGCATCTTTCACTCAGATTTGGGGTTTCCCTTGCAAAGGAGACCCAAAGTGCTTTTTTACAGATTCAAACAGTGTTATCAGTGTTGTGGTAGGGACAAAAGAAGCAGAACTTTACTTACAGTGAAGGTTATAACTGCATTTTAGTGCTATTACTCCAGAATTTGCTAAAATAATGAGATTAATAAAAAGTTATGAAGTTTCTAATGCAGTTAGGAAAGCAGACTTGGGCATCTACCTAGGCAGGAGGGTGCTGGGTTAAGAGAACCTGATTTCACTTGTAATACAAGTGAATTCCTGATAAAGGGAAAACCCCCCTACGGATAGACTAAATACATTTGGTGTGCTGAGGAACATCTCTCTTACTGTGATAATGGTTCCTTGGGAACAATGCAGCAGGGTATGTAGCTGTCACTTCCTCTCAGGGCTTTGTCACTTTTTCTGGACATGAAGGAGTGCGAATAGTGGCTTGTTGCCCAAGTTGCATTACCTTGGTGTACATTTTATACTGGTACTTTTTGTGATAAATCAACACTTTATGGCAAATAAAATGTGATTTCCTGTTTTTAATAATTTTGGAGCTGGCAAATAAAATGTGATTTTCTGTTTTTAATGAGTTGGGACCGGGATACTTCTAGCCTTTTGTGTGGAGTTGGTGGGGAGCCACTGGGAGGAAGGGAACTGCCATGGGTGCTTCTGTGATCCTAAGCCTTTGAGAGTTTGAACTGGAAAGATTCAAAATTCAGGAAGTCTTTTCTTATAGAAGTGCAGTAGTCCTGTTTTGGAGTGGGCTAAGAAAATACAGAAGGTAATTGAGTGGGAATTTATAAAAAGGACTGTGGGATTAGTGCCATGGGAGTAGAAGCTGGTGAAGAGGACCCTTTTCCAGCTGCTCTAGGATCACGGTTGGTGAAGAGGACCCTTTTCCAGCTGCTCTAGGATCACGGTTTAGCCACAAACCGGTAGAAAAGGGTGTTGTCCCTAGCCTGGAGAGGCTGGGAGCAGGAGGGAGGCTGCAAAGCTGTAGTACTCATCCTCCAATGCACCATCCACTGGTGCTGATGCAGTGAGAACAGTTCATACTTGGGAAGGGACAGACTCAGGGAAGGAGAGGGAAGTTAGTTAAATAAGGAGTGAGACCACTGAGGTGGTGGGGAAGCAGACTGAATAAATCATCTTGAGAAAGAATTCAGGAAAATTTTTGTAAAAGAGGTGCTGAAAGCTAATACCAGCCATCTACTGCCCTGCAAGAAGCCCCTGTTGCTGCACGCAGGGCTCCCATGAGGCTGCTTCTGCTCTGGACTTATCTCATGGGCTTCTAGAAACTGTTTTCCTGATGCTGCCCTACTAAAACTTTCCAGAGGAGAGACAGATGGCAATTTCTCAAAAGGCCAGAGGTCCCATTTTGGTGCTTACTCCTTCCTCCAAGGTAAGAAAATACCCCAGTTCTGAAGGCAAGGTTCACTCTCCTGGCAGAGCTGGAATCCTTCTCTGTGTGTGCATATCTGACATGTTCCTGATTATATCCAGCTTCTGTTGCTCTCTTTGTGTGAGCTGATTCACTCCTTATGTTGCTGATTGCTGGCATCTGCTGAAGAGTCTCAGTATTTCAGTCCTGGCATTAGTGTTCTTCACCCGTCATGGCTCTGACCCAGCAGATAGGGTTGTTCAGTAGCCCCTGATGGTTACAGAAGTGGTGTCCCTTGGTGCTTCTGTGGACCCAGCAGACCTGGCTATTCCTCACCCACCCAGACTGGTAGTACCCAACATTCTCGTGTTTGTTGGATTGAAACATCAGCAGTGTCACCCAGTGCAGCATTCCTGCTAAGGGAGGGTACTCTGTGCTGAGCAGGTGATTGAAATGCCTGGAATTTGTTTTTTATTACTTTGAGAGGAAAAAAGCAAATGGTTCCACTTTGGATCCAGCTAAGCTGGAAAGAGAATAGTAGAAGTGCGGGAGTAGTACGTTTGCTTTGGATTGACTCAAAATGCAAGTCTGTTTTCAGTCAGGAATGAGCACACACACGTTTGCAGTTAAAATAAGGCACATCTATAGCATGGAAGTATCTAAGAACAGATATTTCAACTGGCGTTTTTATACGTACGTAAAGCGATTAGTTGGGGGCCAGGACTGAGAAAGCAAAAGTTGTTCCCCTTGCAGAGAGCGTTTATAGGCATGAAGTGAAATGAAAAAAAAAAAAAAAGTATTTAATTTCCCGTGTCCCCGTCGCCTCGGTGCCGGGCGGGTTCCCACCGGGGCTGCGCGGCGGGCGCTGCCCAGCAGAGAGCAGCGTGTGCCCGTGGCTGCGGCTCCGCTCTCCCCTCTCCCCTCTCTCGCTGCTCCGTGGATGCACTGTAAAGCAGCGGGGTCGCTGGCGTTCGATCCTGCCCTGCTGGCAGCTGTTGAACGGTGTGAGCTTTAAGCCAGACTGACCGCATGGGAAGGTCCCGGTTATGCAGTTCCAAATGTGTGATGAAGAAAGCTGGAGCACCCGCTGGAGACCTGGGGGGCTCCAAGCCAAGCGTTCAGGTACGAATAGAGCTGCCCTGTTAAAGACACTCTGGCCTCTGGAGCCTGGAAGTGACCATAGGTTATCTTGGCAGGCCAGTTGTCCCAGCAGGTGGACTTTTCCAGCCTCAATCACAGTTTTGTGACAATTTGTACACCTCCACTCTCAAGTCCCCAGAGTTCAGCTGAGACTCAACTCACTTTGTGACCTTGCTCTGGACTTGCTCCATCAGGTCCAGGTCCTTCTTGTGTTGGTGACCCCAGAGCTGGATGCGGAACTCCATGGGGGGTCCCACCAGAGTAGAGTAGAGAGACAGACTCCCCTGCTGGTCACACTTCCTTTGATGCAGCCCGGGATACATTTGGCATTCTGGGCTGTGAGTGCACATTGCTGGCTCATGTCCAGCTTTTCATACACCAGCACTCGCAGGTCCTTCTCCTCAGGGCTGCTCTCAATTCAATCTCTACCACGCTCTGTAGGCTTCCTTTTTGTGTTTGAGTTTGTCCAGGAGCCCCTTGTTCATCCACAAAGGCCTCCTGGTGTTAATGTTAGTAACATACTACTAGCACAAAGACAGGTAGAATTTCCCTAGGAGTTATGTGGCCAGAACGATTAAACTCAAGCAAATGACCACCAGGAATTTGCTTGGTCTTTAGTTTTATTTTGCTTAATATTGTTCAGTCACTTTGAAAACAAAGGAGGAAACTCCAAGTAAGAGCCAAAAGGACCAAACACTGGTCATATGCACAGGACAGATTGGGAAGGCAGACATCAATGTGGGAAGGAGTAATATAGTGGTGTTACTGATGTAGCTGATCAGATAAAGGAGAATGCTTAGGGGGAAATCTAGAAATATGTAGATTACTGTGAATTAATAACAGTCATTTGACAAATACTAAAATAATGAGAGAAATTTGCCATATTCCACCTGTTCAGATAGAGCTACTGGGCTGTGAAATGACAGATCATATTAAAGCGCAGGCAAAAAGGCTGTAATGAGAGATTTTGATTGCTGAGACATCAGCCAAACTCTGGAGTTGGTGACCTGGTTGAAGCTAGTGGGAGGGGGAGTCACTGGAGGGATCCTGGGTTCAACTGGAGGGTCTGAGGCTGGACAGTCCGGAGTGCACTGCTTCTTTTGTGGTCTTAGAAAGGATGATTTGGGATTGATGTTTCCAATGAAATCAGTTTGGAAGGATCGTTTTGAAAATTTTCATCTAGGAAACTAGGTAGCAATTAGACATGGAATTAATTTCAGGGTTTTTTTCAACAAAACCATTAAAAATATTCCAATGAGCATTTCTGTGTAGGCCAAAAATGTTTCTGACAAGTCCCCCTTAGGTGGGAACACAAGAGTCTGTGTTTATAGTGTGGAGCTCATGGGCCAGGCAACATCCAGCCTTGTTTCCATCACCTCCTTTCCAGGCTGGGCAGAGTTTGTGGCTGTGTGGTGCCTGTGGCCAGCATCAGGCTTTGGCTGGGTGAGAGCTGACCATGCTGCTGTGGGAGAATAGAAATCATGTAGCTGAAATCCAAACCCTGTGGTTGATTGTAGACCCCTGCCCTGAGCTGCCAGAGAGGCAGTTTGTTGTCACCAGATGAGACCCATCTGCTTGTGCTGGGATGATGCTCCAGCCATTGAGGTGTCGGAAAACTGTACATTCAACTTTGGAGGTGTAGACTTTTATTAAATCCAGGATTTACAAAATAAGATCAAAAGTAATGAGAGTTAAGAGGGAAAGATAATCAAGGAGAAATGTCAGTAATCTGGGAACTAGCAGAATTGGACTTTCCATCTCCTATCTTGGAGTTTCAGCAGGGCTAACTTCAATAAAAGAACTAAAAGACACAGCCCTTGGTAAAGAAGCATCTCCATCTGAGAGCTGTACTGCTCTGGAGCTCTACAAATGCTAACAGGTAAGTGCTGGGATCTGCACTTTCACCAGCCACAGTACTTTCTGAAGACCTGGGCTGGCCAGCAGCATTGTCTCACAGAAGGAGGTTTGATAGATGCTTTTCTGCACCCCAAACCCATACAGAACTGGCTAATGCTATACTTTATCTACTACATGTATTTTTCCAACTTCAAAGCTTCTACTTTTATGAAATATGAATGCATGTTCATTTTCTCCTTCATTTCACCTTCCTGAGGGCCACTGATAGTGCTTAAAATGTGCCTCCCCTCTGTCTGTATCTGTGTGTTTATGAGAGATAGATGGATTTTTACCAGTGTGGATGAAAGAGGCAAACCAGCCTTGTTCTCTGTGCTTTCTCTAACAGGCTGGGCTGCAGGCATTAGATCCCCAAATCCCTGCCCGGTGCACTAGTGTGCAAATCACTGCAGCAGCAGGGTTTGCTCTGCTCTTGCTGACTCCCAGTTCTGACACAGTATTTCCGCTCTCCTGGCATTAGAAATTATTTTTTTTTCTTTGTTAGGTTTTAGTTTTATAAAGAATCTATTAGCCATTTTCTTCTCTTTTGCCAAAACACCATCTTCAATGTAGAGAATGAGAAATGTCTACATTTAAACTCTGTTGCAGCAACATGGTTATACTGACTCCAGTTACCAGCAGCAGCATCGCTTAATGGCTCCAGTCCACACACAGACATTGGATCTGGTTGCAACACTGGAGTCACCTTTTCATTCTGGAAGTGATGAATGCTTTAGGCATAGTAGGCAGGAAAATAGAACCTGTCACCAGAAGACAGATGAGGGCAGCATTTCCCTGTAATGTCAGGACACGTGTGTTCCTCTCTAAATAGGTTTTCATCTTATGTTAGCTCTTACTGTCTAAGCTCCTTCCAGAGCAGCCTTGCCAAATGTTCTGGTTCTTCATATAAAATTCATATAAAATTTGTGAGCCATGATGCTTGTGACACATGCAGAAAGTATAGAAAAAGCAGAGGTAGTCTTCACAACTCTGGAACTTGTTTATGTTCAAGAGGTTTAATCCCCTTTTCTGATGGTTTCTTTAGCATTGCTTTTTGTTTGCTTGTGTATTGGGTTTTTTGTTGTGTGGGGGTTTTTTTTTAATAATTTTCTATATTGAGTGGTATATTTCCTGTTTCCCTAACTTTCAAAGGAAGGAATAGCTACAGTAGGCAACGTTGATGAAACAATAGTGCCACAGAAGTGGGCAAAGGTCCTGCTACTGTGTTTTTACGTGTTGATGCTTTTGCCTCTTTCTCTGTTGATATCTTCCTTGTGTCGTGACCAGGCTGAGGATGATATTTAACTGTCAGGACTGGGAAGTCTCCAGCTGATCCTGTTGGTCCTGAAAGGCTTTTCCTAAAGAGCTGACTCTGGTCAGCTCACAGACCCTATTATCCTTGGGATGTTTAGAGTTCGATTTGCTCTTCCAGGCCAAATAGAAGCCATGGCATTCCCACAGCCAAGGTGACTCTGTAAGACCAAGCCAACCATGGTTAAACCCCCTCTCTCTTCTCACTGCAGTGCTGCAATGGATAAGTTCATATTTTATTTTTTGGGCTTTCAGCTGACAGTTGGATCCTCCAGTCCTGCTTAGCATGCGGCAGCACCGAGCCGGCACTCCCGCTCGTCCGAGTGCGAAGATTCATTAGCCTGCATTTATCAGCTCTTGCCAGGGAAATGGTGAATAATGAGGGCTGGTTCAGGTAATGAAATGATCTCCCTCTCACATCTGATTACATTGCTGCTTATTATTTCCTCGGTGTGTAATTTTGCTTCCCTGGAAACTTGTTTTGTAAACATTAATGACTGTGCAGCTCTGGCCTGAAGTTAAACCAGCCCAGCAGTGCTGCAGGAGCCTGGAGACCTGTGTGGCCTTGCTATTGGTGTTACTCCCTGTGCTTCATTAGCTAATAGGAGGGTGGAGACAGCCTCTGCTCCAGTGCTGGAAGGTACAAGGCACAGAAAAGGTGCAGCCCTTTGCATCCTCAGGAGCAGCTTATACCTTTTGTACAGGTATCAGTGCTGTGATTTAGCCTAACTGCCCTTCTTCTCTGTCCTTGAGTTTCTCAGAGAGATATGTACCATGATGCCTCTCCATTTGTAATTTGTTAGCCAAGAAAAAGACATATTCCTCTCATTTCTTCCTTTATTTCTTTTCTTCTTGATTAACTTTCTTAAACAGCACTGCAGGCTATTCCAGATGTTTTATATGAGAATACTAAAATTGTTTTCTCTCTACTGGAATGACTTTTCTTGTACATTTTGGAATTGCATCTGCTTTTTCCATGTCAACATCCATTTGGCAGTATGGGGTCATGCTAAATTAACCAAATGCAGCCAGAAATCCTCATCCTTAGCCTCAAAGAATTGACCTTGCACTGTGTGCTCTTTATCCCATTTATATAACATAAGCCCTTATCGTCCAGTTTTTCTAGACAGTCTTCTCACTGACCTCTGTGTGACCTCAGTGACACCATCCCCACTTTAGCTACTTCCTTCTCCAAATTATCTTTTTTTGAAGAATCCCCAGTTCTCCAAGGATGGCATTTGTACCTGTGAGAGATGTTTTACTGAAGACTAAGCAAATGAGAGCTGCCCACCTAATGTGGTTAGCACTCTGGAAACATCTCCTATATCTATGATAAGCTCTATTCTTGAACAAATTCCTCCTTCAGTAACACAACTCACTGCAGTGGCTTTTTGTATGTGTTTCCATGACATACATAGTCCAGAAAATCCAGGACAGCTTTGTGTTACTGTTGAAGTTCTGTGTATGTAAGATGTAATTTATTTTTACGAGCTCCTGGGCCCCCTGTAATTAATATATATATTCTCAAGATGAGTCTCTCATTTCTGTTCTCCTCATTATTGCTTTACCATGCTGCATTGGAGCGCCAGTGGCTGCCTGGGACTCCCTTGTGTAAGGCACTGCACAAGCAAGGAGCAGAGGAGTCACCAGCCCAAGCTGGACAGCAGCACATGTGAGCCAGTCCCTAAGAGTGCCGGCCAGTAGCCAGTGGTTTGAACAAGGCAACAACACTGTTTCACCAACCCTCCTACGCAGAGACTTGTCTGACAGATTTTCACTCTCCTGCCCTCTCCACGCTGCACTTGGGGGGCTATGCAACTCTGAGGAAATGTGTTTTCCTGTGGTCCCTTTGGACACGTGAAAGCTGCTGAAAGTAAATCTCATCCTATGGGTTGGTTGTGTTTCACCCAGGGGCGTTTGGAAGAGTTTTATGGTCTCTTTAAAGGGATTGTCAAGACACAGATCATAAATCTGAGGAGGCACCTGTCTCTGTTATGGTTACTGTGGTGTGCATTGCTGGGCCAAAGTATGCCCAGGGTAGTGCCTCCCCCTGTGTTACCCAGGATACATTTGCTCCTGTATTGATTACATACACATTCAGCCAGTCACTAAAAGCAAAATTTGACCCCACAATGCGGGGGGTCCCAGTGAAATCAGCCAGTTTATTGGCCTAATCAATGGTATATGACTGCTCTGCAGGAGCTGAAAAAAAATCTAAGTCATCTTCATATTAAAACAAGTGTGGGGAAAAGACATTTCCACGAAGAATGCTTCAATCTTTTAAAATTGGGTTTCTTTTTTCCCTAAACTATTGACTAATGGACCGAAAATTTTCTAAGCGTGTCTTTTTTTGAAGACAATGCCATTTTTCTCAGGAAAGAAAATCATTAAGTGACAAGTGAACGACGAGTCTCTCCTTGTCAGTGTGTTTCTCCGGCTCAGCTGGGGAAACAGGTGTGGAAAACGTTTAAATTAAATGGTTCTCCAAACTCTGAGTCAAAACGTAAATTGTTAGGATTCTGATGGCTTTGTTTTCTTCAGGGTTTCACACATTTTTGCTCTAGAGTCCAATTGTGTGTTATTCCAGAAATCAGTGACCTGGTGCTAAGCTCTTCCGTGCATTAATTTCCCTGCAATTTCATCAGCCTGAACATTTTGGACAGTTTCCCATGGGTCCTGGGGTTTTTGCTGCTCACATCTGACTGCTCCCCCATGGTGAAGCTGCACTTGAGCAGCCTCTCCATGTTTCAGCCCATCTATAGGCAGATGCTACCTGTACCAAATCACCCCATGCTGGAGTTGACGTGCCACCTCATCACCTCGGTATGATCATCCCAAACCCTGGGAAAGGTCAAACTGGAGCTTTGCCAGAGCAATGACTAACTTTTGGTTTGCTGCCATGAGCTTTGCCCTTCTGACACAAGCTGTTATAAACCCCGCACTTTGTACCCAGGGCACATTAGACCAATCCCAAGTCCCTTTTAAGTATTTGCTTGAAGAGATTGGTGACTCCAGGTGCAGCTCACAAGCTCCACTGAATTTGGCTCCTATTAAGACAATTCATAAGTGCATTCCCGTGTCCAACAAATATTCTATTGCATCTTATCTAAAAACACAGAACTGATGGAAGGGAGCAAAGCAAGTGTGGCTTATGGATCCTCCTGGCTACAGCAGTGTCCCTTGTTTGTAGGCATTTCCATCCTGCTGTTCCAGAGTTGAACATACTTTAAACAGCCAAAAAACCAGGCTGTTAATTGGGGTTTAAATTTCTTACAGATAAATGTGTTTAATGGCAGAGAAGGTGAATCTACTCAGATAAGGATAATTTGGAGATCCTGATCCTTGTAACCTTGGGCACTGCTACTCAGAGCCAACACACTCAGGGCCAAATCCTTCTCATTTTTGAATTAGTGGCAGACATAGAAAACAGTTCAAATCTTTTTCACTTGGGGGAACTGAATGCTCCTGTTGTAGAAAATACCAAGTGTGTTACATCAATTACCTTTCCCTCTTAAAAGACTGATGCCAAAAGGCTCATATGGTCCAAATTAGGCAAGATTTACCAGAGACAGTGGACTTGTGGGTGTGGTTTTGTTTGGTTGATGGCTTTTTTATTTTTAATAGTGTGGCTTAGTGTCTTATGTATGGTTTCTAAGTAAGATTTTTCAAATTATAGTGATACTATCAAATTTGGAGGAATAGGGACAATACTGCCATGAAGTGCAGGATCTTTCAGTACCTGGATAGAGGAATATTGACTTCATTTCTTTAAAAAAGCAAAGCTGAAGTTTAGCACAGAAAGAGAGGAAGGACTCCTTCATTTTGTTTTATTGACAACACTCAAGATTATAAAAAATATTAATCCTAGTGTTCTGAATTACTTAAAGCCTCGTGCTGGTGCTTGTGTTCAGAACTCTTTACAAACCCTCTGAGTTTGGTTTTGTTATAAGGTACTGTAACTGTTCCCTTGATTTTACTTGGTTTGTTTGGTTTACTTGGCTGTCATGAGAAATAGTGAGAAACACTTAAGGAGCTTTTCGTTTCTTGAGATTTGCATTTGACTTTCCTTAGGGTAGACTGTTTTTGATATGGGGAGGATGTGTCTCACCTTCTGGAGAGAACTGAAGCCCTGAGGGTGCTGCTCCCTGGGGACTCTGGAGAGGAGGGACAGCTCTGGGCCTGGGAGTCCGCAGGTAAGTAAGATATTTCGAAGAAATTCATTGCTCTTGCTGTGTTAAATTGTGCTGCTGGAGAATACACAGTTGCCTGGAAAAATATTTCCTGACTCACTTAGAATTTCATGAGACACAAGCCCATCCAGGATTGCTGTTTATCTTGTCTAGGAACCAAGACAGAGCTTTGCTGCATATTTAATTAGGTAGGGGCAAGGCAAAGAATTTTAAGATAAGATTATCTTATGTTCCTCATCACAGCCCTCATGTAAAAGTTTTCATGGCATGAAAAACAGAGTCTGATGGTAAGACATCTGTTTTTGAGGCCAGTGAAAACAGCTTTGCAGAGTAATACTTTTTTTCGTTGAATACTCCTATGACTTCTTTTCTGTGTATGAGTATAAAAATTTATTGTGCATTATTATGAAAATGAACCAGGAGTTGTAAAGATATGAGTGGGAATATGGGGCTTCTGGAACAATAAACACTTTCATTCCTGTTGCTGCTGAAAGCAGAAAAAGAACAAGTGAAGAGAACCTGCGCTTCTCATTGCTGCAATAAGCTGACAATAATCAGAATTAAGGGACTGGGAATAACAGTATAAAGTCAGTCAGAAGCCAGAGCAATGGAGTTTTACAGCAAACAATTGAGTTTATATTGCAGCCTCTCAGTTCCAGTTCTGCAAAGGTTTTCGAGTACAATTAGGAACTGGTTGCTAGTCTTGCTCTGGAGTCAGCTGCAAGAGTTCGCGGTGGCAGAAGGGGTGTGAAGAGGATGCAGAACCAGGATGGAGTCCTGTGTGGTTTTCTGTTTAGTTTTAAATCTTCAGTGTTGGCACCAGTGTGCAACAAGCATTGCAGCTACATATCACTCGCACACAGAAAACAGAAATGTCACAAATCTGCACCACCACCACAGCAGCAGCAGACCATCCTCTGCTCTGTCTGAGCTACTCTGTGCCTGTGTAACTCAAAACCCTTCAGATCTGTGCTCTCCCCTTGCAGGAAGGGTCAGAGGAAGCCTGGGGGATGTCTGTACAGCTAGTCAGTGTTGTCTATACTGTCCAGGGCTTGCTGAGGAGCTGGGGTCCTGCTCTCCTCCTGGCAGAAGGATATGAAAGGCAGAGGAGATGGTGCTTTAAACCCAGTTTCGCTAACTCTGCATCTTTGAACAAGTTGTTACTGCTATCCAGCAAACTCCCTATCCGTGAGCTTAAAGGTTATGAAATACTGACATTGCACTCTGGTCATGAATCACTGATGGCTATCAAGAGATGGCTTGGTGTGGGGAGTGACTGGAAGAGCCTCCTGGGGATGTTTTGTAACCTAGACAGGGGGGATGTGCATGCACTGGGCTAAGCACAAAACTTCTCTAAAGAGGACTAAGTCCATCAGGCTGTACACAAGGCTACCTTGGTCCAAGAGAATTCTGCATCTCTGTGCTAATTAGGAGGGGATTTAAGGTGCTCTGGGCCAGAGAGAGATCCACATTCTACATGGGAAAGGAATTCCTAACTTGGAGGTGTCTATAGCTTTCATACACTGCAGTAAAACTCACCCTGGCAATAAGCATTCAGGGTGCCAGAAAAACAGGTAAAATTCAGGAACAAGTAACTGCCTTTGTGGTTTCATGAGGATCTCTGTGTCTTTGCACTTCCAAATGCTGGCATAATAAATCCTGAAGTGCCTTTTTGCTCACAGCAGACATGATTAATACAGCTGTTAGCTGGTGTGTCTGCTAGAAGAAACAATTGGCAACCCCTGGGTGAATAAGCACCAGAGGCCTGAAAAACCCACAATTCTCTCCACTTTTGAGAAACTAAGACATAAAAAAAAAATGTTCTTGTTTTCCTCTTCAAATCCATAATCAGACATGACGTAAAGAGACAGTCACTTCTGCAATAAGTAAGTATTTTGGAGAGTGCTTGTTAAAGTGAAAATGCTCTAATGTTCTGCACAGCTGGAGCCCCTGTGGGGTGCAACATAAGCATCATGGCAGCATGTCCCATCCGCTGCCCTACAGCCCCTTCTGCCCGCTCATCTTGGGGACTGAGGGATGTCCAGATGTACAATATCCCTTTTCCACTTAGTAGCTCTTCTGCAAGGTGAGGAGGGGGGCTGTGGGGATGCTCAGGGGTGCTGAACCCTGTAAACTTCAGGCTATAAATGCATCTTTCCTCCTCCTCGCATCCATTTTCCCCCAGGAAAACCCTGAGCAGGACACAAATATCCTCCATGATTTCAACAGTTTTCCCTTCTGCTTCTTCCAGCATAATCACATCCACTGATTTCTGCTTGTTTACAGCTTTTGTTTGCAGCTGGAAGCTCAAACCACTATTTATTTTCTGTATGGGTTCCTAATCTGGAAATGGATCTAATTTGCTTTACCAAATTACAAGTGAATTAAGCTAAACAAAATGTGTTATATCTGGATACATTGTGGAGCTTTCATAACAGAGGAAAAAACATGTTTTTCATTGCTGTGAGTTTCTTCTTTCCTCAGCATCAATAAGTTTGTGTTCTCAAAAAATATAAAATGTCTCTATAAATGGTAGAGTTTTTCCTTGGGGCCAGGAGCTGAGGAGCTGGAACTGCATCTGTTTCACATCTTTCATCCTCTCAGCCCTTAAAGAGTATCCTTGCTAACATCCCAACAGTTCCTCCCCTTGCTCTTAGACACACTTTGATTATCTGCAATATTGCATTTGATAGTATTACTAAATAGTTCTTAAAAATTTACCTTTTGGCAACTGCTTCTTCCCTTTCAAATGGATTTTTTTTCCCTACCTGTAAATCAGCTTTAGAGCATTGTATATCTAATGAGAGCAAATACCCCACTGCTCTGAGCGAGACAAATATTTTGCATTTCCATTTCCTGACCCATCAGCGAGAATTTTGTGCAAAATGCAGTAGAAATGTCAGAGTGATAAAATAGCATTGGTTTTGGTTCATTCCCAGGTTAGAACAGCTGATGTTATGGAAAACATCCAGTGCTATCCAGACCTTGTGGAGGGCAAATACTTTATGGGTACTGCTAGATTTCAATGACAATTTTACTGACTGACGAGTACTACAACACCTGAGGTTTTAGTTACAATTTCTTAGTTTACTCTTTTAAACCTGAAATATATCTGAAATATATTTCTTTGCTAGGAGTTTGCAGTTTGGATGCTAGATGGGCTCCCCATAATGCATTTATGGACACAAACACCAGGTTTAGTTTCCTGCCACTAAACCACATTTGTTCTGAGATGGGGTAAACACTGTTCCTCTTCAGAAAGTCTGTTTAAAGCAACTGATTTGCAAGATTATTTTTTTAGCTGAGAACAATTAAGAACTCTAAAAGCTTAACCAGCTGTGATAATTAACAGTCACTAAGCCCATCTTTGGGGAAATACAGCACGCTATTTTAGTCCTTCCATAGTAAGGACTGAGAAAATAATGTAAATGAGCACTGCTTTCCTGAGCAGCTCCTTGGGATGTAGAGCCCGGGGCAGAGTCTGGGCTGGGCGTGAGCTGCCACAGAGGTGATTTCTGCTCGCCTATCTCCGAAGGTGTGTCATTTTAGTAAACACAGGTGATAAATTTAACTTTGTCATCGTGACATAAGCAAAGCCTGTTGTCTGTCAGGGTGGAAGTGCACGCTACTCCCTTCTTACAGGAGGGGATAGTTTTGCATTAATAACTCCTAGAGGCAGCCTCCTGGGCTCCTGCCGGGCCCCCTGCATGGCCAGGCTGCTGGGGCCGTGGTGGTCCAGTGCTGCCCGGGGCAGGATGCTGGGGAGGCCGGGGGGGCACAGCCCTGGGCTGTGGCCCCGGGTGGCTCGGCCGGTCCTGTGCCCCGCCAGGGCTGTCGGCAACAAAGCGAGGGACGCTCAGCACGTGGCTCTGCGGGCGGCTGATCCAGGTGGGTGAAAAGCCTTTGGTCACTGTTTCGTGCTGCAGCATGGAGGGAGAGGGTATTTGCAGGGAAGGGTGAGAAAATGACCTTCATTCTCGACTGTGGCTGAACTACTGCAGGGCTGCATCTCCTGGGGTTACAGGCGCTCCCGGGACATTGAGCACACTCTGAGCTCTGACCAGCACAGTGCACAGGGATAAATTTTTTGCGTTAAATAGTCCTTCTCCTATGGTAGCAAATACAAACCGACGCTTCATGTCAGGGAACATGTTAGTTAAAACAGATAAACAAATATTCGTCCTCCTACCCAGCTGCCCGGTTTCCAGAGCAGGACCAGTGCAAGTCCCTGGGTGTCCAGGGCTGGTGCAAGTGGCAGACTTGCACCTTCAGCTCCCCTCCATGATCCCTGCTGAGTTGTAGCCGCAGCTGTGTGTGCTTGTGCCAGACAGTGCCCTGGATTAGGTGGCAGAGAGCAGACATTGGTCGCTCCCAGATGGACAAACTTCCTGGCATAGAGATGGTTTCTCTTTTTAACCTGTACCACCACTTCCTTGGCTGTGCCTTTGTAGACTCTTGCCCTGTCAAGGCTGGGCTGCATGGGGCTGTCTGTGCTCCCATGGGATGGCTGAGGGTCTCCTGCATGGGGCATTACCCTTGTCTTCCTTGTGATGAAGTCTGTCCTTTTAGCAATCCAGCATACTGCTTGCTGCAGATCTGACTCTGGCACTTGCTGGTCTCACTGGCACTCTGTAAGACAAATAGGAGAAGCAGGAGATTAAATTTACCCGGAGGTCTGGGAGCCAAGATTTACAACTGGGATTTTCCAGCCATTCACAAAGTCCTGGCATCCATGAGCAGGTCTGGGGCCAAGGCACTTAATGTAATTTCACCATCTCAACACAGGCAGGAAGAGATGCTCCCCATGCCCTGTTCTGTAGTGACAGTGATTTTCTTTCAGCCAATCCAGCAACAAGCAGGGAGTGCAGAACACTGAAACCAGGGACATCTTCATGTCCATCCTTTCTGCATGCTCTGAGCATTTCTCAACCCAAGTCCCACATTTGCAAGCACAGGGCACTGTAGCATAGCATCTTGGGTGCACCTACCCGGGTGTAGGTACTGGGTGAGCAGTCTCAGCTACCTTGTAAAGACCACTTGTGCAAGCGTACAATGCAAAAGGCAGGATTTGAGATAGCCATTGCTATTTTTGCAGGGTCTCCCTGCTGCTGTCCTTGTTGTGGCCTGTCATTGGGCTTGTTTCCATCAAGAGAAGCCAGAGTCCTTTTCTCATTGTGCTGTGGGTGACAACATGCTAATGGCATCACCGTGGTAGCCTGATGGGGTGTAATGTATCATCATTAGAGTACAGTAATGTGTTACCCAGCTTGCATGAGAATGACTGCCAGCCTCCCACCAGGCTGCATTTTAGCAGACTTCATCTCTCCATCGTTGATTTTAGGAGGAGAAGCTGTTTTGGAGTTACTTGTGCTGCCGACAGTTTGCTCAACTCACTAGTTGGGCTATTAAAAGCAAGATGCTAGCAGGGTGAGAGGATGCTGTGGGGCTGAGGTTCCCTAAGCCTGCATCCTTTACCCTCTCAATCAGGAAGTTTAGGAGAGATTTTTACTTTAAGACCTACCAAAACTAAAGAAAAAAAAGGTCAAATGAAATAAGCTGCAAATGTAACAAAGCTCACACCATCTGCTGAGTCTTTTTGACTTTAGAAAGTGCATTTGACTCTCAGAGAATAGAAAAGTGTAATTTTGAACCTTCAATCCTTTTCCCCCTGTAACAACAGCTTTTTCCCTCTTCCCTTCTTGAAGCTTGACTTGTTTTCTTTTATAAAATCTTTTATAGGTAAAGAAGCTTTCAGAAATGACAGAAGGCCTACAAATTTTGATAAAAAGGTGTTGGTATGGGCAGGACGCTTTAAAAAGGAGGAGGACATTCCCAAGCACATATCGTAAGTGGATCAGTCAGAATGATACTTTTGTCTGTGAACACACAGATTGACACCCCACTCTGCATTACCCAGAGTTGTGCTCACGTGGTGAGAGTTAGTGCTCCCCCATGCTGATGGGGATTGCTGTTACTGGTGTCCAAATTGTAGCCCCAATTGTAATTCTTGGGAACGTGAGCTTTTTGCCATTATAGGTGAAGTAAATTGGATTCATTTGTTTTAGATATCATACATTTCAGACTAAGTTGTAGTGTCTTTTACAAGACAAGTGGCTTTGTAACTCACGAGTTGCTACGGTAAGATATCCACTTTGGATTTTGCATGCTTTGCTAGGTTTTATTGATTAGCAATATTGCTGCATAAATTTTAATAATAAATTGGGGCTACACACAGCTTTGGTGACAGGCATCTACAATGAGTTCCTCATGTCTGGCCTGTGGTTTCACCTTCTTGTTAAGGTATTTTGTTAAAGAATTGTCACTCAGTTTTGGAGTCCTAAGCTTCTGACTTGTGACATCCCGGGGGCTCTTCCACCCATCCTTCCTCTCTCAGGTGTAAGCACTCTCATATGCAATAAAAGAAGACAGGAGAGCAGGATTTGTTATTCCTGTTCTTACGGATGGCTATTGGAAGTAGCAATACCCCACTTGTGTGGGAGGGTGGCTAAACCTTTTCCCCATAGGCTATTTTTTTCAGTCCTCCTCTAAGCAGCTGCAAAAAGAGAAGGCAGAAACCCCTTGCACATTGACAGACAGTTGCTGTAAGACTTGAGGATTCATTACTCAGCTCCCCATGATCTCATTTCACACACGCTGCTGCAGGATGGAAACTCTGCTCTGTCCTCGGCAGGTCTGATGTCCTCGACGCAGCAAGGAACGTTGTCAGGATAAAGGTTTGCTACATCATGATTGCACTGACTGTGCTGGGCTGTTTGACCATGGTCATCACAGGCAAAGAAGTGAGTATTGTTTCTGGGTGAACTGATTTGCTTAATGTATGGTCTATGTACGCTTTTTGTAAATAAGCCCCTGGGTGACAGATTATAAGTACACATAAGCAATATTTGCACAGGACCTGTGTCTCTCCTCTAGGGGAGAGATTGCCATGGGTAAGCACAATTTGCTGATTAACATGTTCCTTCTGACCCACTTTGTCATAAACCTGTTCAGTGCAACACTCTGTGTTACAGTACCTCAGCAAGAGGCCAGTCCAAAGGTGATGGAGCAGTTCAGACAGTGCCAATGGTACCTGGTCCTGCCCTGCATCCATCAACCATGAGGCTTTTGTGGTCCTGCCTGCCTAGCCTGCATGTCACCATGGCCACCAAGAGCTGTGACACTTCTTTCCATCCCACTTCTGGGGAAGGAGGGTCTCCAGTTTGACTTGCATGTCCCAGTGCACCTGTAAACAACTTACAGTGTAACTCTCCTGCTAATCAGAGCTGCAAATGCTGAAAATGTGGTATAACAAGGAAACACATTAACTTCTGTTACTGCAAAATATCAAAAAGGACAGTTGGGTGTCAAGGGAAGTGGTGCAAATGTGGGGAAATGTAGTGGTGGCAACTATGTGCATGCAATGATTTTCGCCAATTCTTTTCAAGGCTGCAAAAAAGGATCAGACGCTGCTGAGGGTGAACATAGAAAAGAAGGCCAAATGGAGGGCTGAAGCAGAGAAAGATCAGGAGGCAGCTGTTGGGAAGCCACAATGATTTGGAACAGATTTATTTTAACAGCAGGAGATAAGTGATTTGCACATGTGGCATATGGACCTGTCTTCATTTAACTCTTTAGAGATTTTTCACTGAAATTCTCTCAAGGCAAAGACTTTACTTCCCAGAAGCTGCTCCATATGAACTGGGAAACCTCTATGGAAACTCCAACAGCTGCTTTTTGTGGTCTCTGGTCTTTGGCACAAGGTTCAGCTGAAATATAAAACTGCCTTCTGAGCTGGAAAGTGTGGGAAGGACAAATTCAGGACTCCCCATCTCTGGATCAACTTTTCATGGTGCTGCTGGTGCTCAGCATTGCTGTGGGGTCATCTCCTTGCAGGAAGGATGTGGCCCTACATCAGGGATCATCCTGTTCTGTGCAACACCTCCAGGGCAAACAGCCTTGGCCAGAGAGAACCAGGGCAGGGGGAAAAGCAGTCTGAAATACGTTTTGCAACCTCAGAGAGGTCAATTATCTCTATCTCTCAATTACCTTTGAGCCTGCTGCCATCACTGTCCCCTTTCCCTTCTGCCAGCCCCTCCTGGGATGCCATGGTCAGAGGACAGGGATGACATGGGCATGAAGAGGGGCTGGGAATATGGAAGAGTGTGAACAGATCCTGATGACTGATTTGGGCCAAAAGGGGCTTTGGGCCAGAGGAGATGGTGGTGGTGTGGAGTGGTTGCTGTGGGGCAGCCCAAGGAACCCATGCCTCATGCAGGGAGCCAGTCTGGAGGCACTTCTTGTCCTGTAGCACCTCACTGGTTTTCCTTTTTCGTCTTCTGCTTTTAGTCATTGTCATGAAAGTTGTCTAGCACTTGCTCAGCTGTGATTTTAGTCCGGAGTAATTGTTAATACATGGTTTGCTAAAATTGGATTCTTTTTAATCATCGTAGTTCATTAACTCATAATAAAACAGCTGTCCAATTACATCTAAAACAAAAGCATCCCTTCACAGCTTCATTAAGAGCGTCACCAAACTCTCTGGAATGATGTTTAACAGATGGGAGAAATCCTAATGAAATAGTGAAAGTTACATATTCACAAAGTGACTTGACTTCAAGACAGGCCCCAGTTCACACCTGTGGGTGCTGATGTTCTGAGCCCCCTCATGACATTCATAACCCCTCGAGACCTGTAACGCTGGCTGGTAGAGCTGGGTGTGCTGCATGGTGTCCCAAGGGACACAGCGTGACAAACCCCAGCCACTGCACCCTGGCTGCAAGAGGAGATGCTGTAACCACAGCTCAGCCTTTGTGCAGTGTCCTGAGCATCACACTGAACCCTGGCCTTCCCAAGGTTTATTACTTGGACCAGTCACACTTGCGCTCCAGGGGAGTCTGGAAGCTCCTGCTCAGGTCTCTGAAGTTTATTGTGTCAAAAATCATGTCCACTTATTGCTGGAGTGCCACTGCATGAACAACCTGCTGGCAAAGATGGGCTGGGGCACCAGCAGGAGGGCAGCAGTTGTTGGGCTCTGGGACTCCGTCTGCTGTGCCTGTGGCCATTGTGCAGCTTTTTCCCTCTGATGCCTCTTAGGAGCATTTATCTCCATGCTGCACACCCATTTAGGGTGAGGGGGATGTTAGCTCTGTCACACACACAGCTCCATGTTTGCAGTCCTTGTTTCCAACTCACAGCCCCATGCAGTACAGTTCACCAAGAGTGATGTCTGTCCCTGTAGTATTCCTCATGAAGCACATCTCAGGGAAGTGAAAATAATGGTCTAGGACAAGCACAGACTGAAAAAGCCTCTGCTGAGAAGGCATTTTTGCTTCACAGGTAATATGGACTCTTTCATTTTACATGACCTGGTTTTCTTGGCTAGTGCAATAAACCGCATGAATTACCTCAAAGTTAGTGTTCATTTGGGGATAACCTAAAAGAGCTCTGCTCAGTCTCTTAGATGATTGTTTTTTTCATTCTTAAATGGCTTTTCTGTGCCCTTTTTCAGAAGGCACGTGTGGCACTTATAGGAACCATTTTGATGCTTGTAAACAAATCCACATCCATGTTCTGAGCTGCCCTGACTTAAGCGGGAAAGAAGACGATCATAGCCATATCTAAAGAACAAGAAAATTAATTGTGACTTGCTCCTCTCTGCTCTGCACTCCCCCCTGTCTGGGAGTAAACCCTGCTTCAGGTGTGAGCTATTATCAAATCCTCTTAAACAGCCGCAGTCTCTGTCGACAGTGCATAAAGCTGCTGCATTACACATCATCATTAAGAGAAAGGGAAAATCAATTCTTCCTCCCTGAGCCACTGGTAATGCACCACTTATGAGCCATCAGATGACCCAGGTGCTTCTGGACTCTCACAAAGAGCTATGACTATTATGTAGCAAAAAAATCTTTATCAGTCCTGGCTACATGATTATTCATGTTAATATCATAATATTCCCCAGAAAATCAATTGGACTGATTGCTGGCTTGTACTCAGTCAGTGGTGGGGGCTGCTGGTTTAGCACATCCTCAGCTGGAGTCATCCCTTTATGGAGATGCCTCTCCAGCACTGGGACTTATCACTGCTTGTTAAAATCTGTTTCCATCTGTGTCTGTGAAGTCCTTTGACTCTTCTCTTGAAAAGCCTCTAATTAACACAGACTCCTGAAGGTATAATTGGCTGATCCTCATCACCTTACAGTTGTGAGTTTCTTTATTTCTCCTCCCATCTATATTGCTTCAGTGTCACACCTGATCCCCCAGGCATTTAAAAAGGGGATGGGAGTGGTTAGGAGTTATTCTTCCCTTTTTAATAACATGCTTTGCATTTTCCCAACCTGGCCCTGAGGACAGTGTGAGGTGCTGGCTCCTTCCTAAGGCAGGGGATGGAGTAGAGAGTGTGCCAGTTTGCTGTGGTGCTCAGAGAGACCAAGGGTGAGTCCTTTCTACTCTCCCCTCCTCATTTGCTTCTCTGGGCTGGGAGCAAAGGATGCTTTCTCCCTTGCAGGATTTTTGCCTTTTTAGTGAACTCTTGTATGGCAATGGTTAACAATATGCTAGTGGTTGATGCCATGGAGATTTGTGTTACAATAACAGTTGTTGGGGAAGTTTTTCCCTAGTAGCTGGAGTTGATCTAATTCTGCTTCCATTAAAATTGGTGTTGAAGTTCCTCCCGGCTGTGGATTAAAGTTATCATCAACTGTTTTTTGAAGTTTCAGTGATTTCCAGAGACTCAGCTATCCCAGGGAGCCCCACTGCTGCAGGACAGAGCTGAGTGCACTGAGCTTTCTCCTCCAATGTGATGAGATCAAACTTATATGGGAGGCTCTTCATCATGAGCATCCCAGTGTGCCAGAGAAAAGGTGTGAGATGGGAAAGTTTGAGCTCAGGAGATCTCAGTCCCTTCCTTATTCATTTTCCCTCTCTTTTTGACCTGCTCAGGGGATTTCTAGTGACACTTGATTTCTTTCTGTCTATCTACTATGCACAGCTCTTCTCCTGGGATGCAGCAAGACTGATGTGTTGCTACACTTGTGAAGGATTTTTTCCCTGGACAGAGATGAAATCTTGCCATTCATAAGGACCTAATTTTAAAGACGTCCTGTTCTTTCAGTGTTAGTCTCCCACCAAGCTGAGAAACTGCTGCTTATTTTAAGTCTGAATGCACCCAGCTTCAGCTTCCAGGCATTGAACATTGTCTTCAATATGGAATATAAAATATCCCATCTCAGCTCTTTCCTGTCTGTAGCTAGTCACTCCTCAGCTGTTTGCAGTTGGATTGCTGCTATGTTCAAAAGACCTGAGTTTCTAACCATTGCTTGGTGGGTTTCACTGCCTTACTGGCCAGTTTTTAGTGCTTTTATTCCTGTATCAAGTGATTTACTACATTAGTAGCCTCTTCATAAACAATCCAAATAGATTTTTTGTTTGTTTGTTTTAGCACAGAATCGATAATCTAGTACTCTTGCAGAAAGAAAGGATGTAAAAGCTTTCCAGACTTTACTGGCTGCCCTGGAAAATGAAAAAGCACAATGGCTATGTATCAGAAGTGATTTTTCCTCTGTCTGTGCCCAAGGCACCAGTACCTGCAACATGGCCAGCTAGTGCCTGTAAATCTGCTTTTTTTCCTGGGACTGCCAAGGGTCCGATCAAAAGAGTTTCAAGGCTGAAGATCTCTGGGTGAGATGCAATGATAGTTTAGATCTGCAAAAGGGCCTGCTGCCTCTTACCACAAAGATATTTCCACCTCAGAGCAGCATTGTGCTTTCTCCCTTGCTCAGCATCATTGCAGCAAGTGCTGGCTGCTGCTGGTCCACAGGGACTGGAGTCCTCATGACCATCATGATTTCAGAGATGGCTTAAACACCACTATCCTGTTTGGATTTGGCATGAAGTCATCTTAGCCTAGCAGAAAAACAAGGCCAATGTTCAATAATTTAAATTAATGAATGGATCATTTATTAATACATTGAGGTAACATTAGAGCAATTTTCCACAGTTAAGTAGTTTGATGGTCATTAGTGCTGTATGATGCAAAACCTCTGTGACAGTCACATGATGAGTAAGTAGCTCCTGAAATACTCTGAAAGGACCTGAGTATTTAATTTCTCTGCTCTGTGAAGGATCTGGACACAAACTTCAACACTGCATTAGTCTAGCTGGCTCCACACCTTCTCTGGGCATGTGACAGCTTTCTGTGTGGAAATCTAAACCTGGCACCTGACTCCTCCTCTGCAGCACTGTGTTCCTCAGTGAAGGGACCAAAACTTTGAACTATTTGGGCAGAGACTGCTGTTTGCTGGGTGTGAGAGGGCTTACCACAGGGAGGAAATCAGTCTGGAAAAGGGTTTCATAGGAAAGAGTTGGGCTCACCTATGTCTTATGTATGTTCTGCAGCATGAGTGGAGTTATCAGAAACCACTGGTGAAACTAGAACAGCAAATGGAGGAATTTTCATGCTGGTCTGTAATAACCATCTCACAGAGGACATATCGTCCTGAGAAGTTTCTAAATGAAATGGGAACCAAAATAGCCCAATGAATTACAGTTATTCCGAATGATTCGTTTTTCTCTTTAGGCAGAATATGTGAATGCAAACATAGCTCACATGGAGCACTATGAATTGCACCCCCTTACACTGAACTCCTCGTTCCTC